ATTGACTATAGCATTTGATATGTGATTTATGTACTTTTTTCAATAGTTTATGATTTCTGTTTTAAAATGTATTTTTGCAAGATTTTATTTTTGAGAGAAATGACATATTTGGAAATGAAATTCCATATATTATTAATAAGAAACCATGGTACAAAATACTATTGCAAAGATAGTAAGTACAACATTTAGAAGAGGACATAAAAAAAAACATTTAAACAAATGTATGGTAAAACATTGAACAAAGGTGGCTTTTCGATTCATTGTATAGCCTCTGCTGATATGAGTCCTTCTTTGTTGATACAAATCCATATTCAAGAACTTCAAAGTCATGCCAAGATCCTTGGACATTGTTTGTGAATATATAAGCAGCAAGTCCTGAACACAAACGCACAACATATCTCCTTTATGATGCAGTCGACACTGGAAACGTTTACTACGATAAGATGAGGACAAACCTGAAATTGTGTCGTTAGCTATTCATATAGCGTCCTCCTCGGAAATTTTAGGATACATAACATCGGAAGGACAAAATCTGTGAAAAGTCTTAAATCAAGAAACTTGAATAAACGAAACAAGAACCAAAATAATTCAGATAAAAGAAACAAAAGAATCATTCAGGGACAAGAGATTCATCAAATTTCAGTGTGAAAACATTTCTCCTACAATCTAATCCTCAGATCTCATGGCAAAACGTGTTTACTAAACATCCAAAACTAAAAAAAGACTAATGTTAAACTTCACCAACCATGAAAGCTAAGATTTTGGCCTTAGATTCTCAAAACCGTAGACTTGAACCAATAGATTTAAAAAATCGAAAAGCACAAAATTGATCTCGTAAAACCCTCAAAAATCTGTTAACTTATTTTGATTAAAAAAAAAGAAAGCTAAGGAGTTACCATTGAACAAGGCTACTGAAGAATAAAGAGCGAATGGCCACAGTACTCCGTCTCCTCGCCATTAGAAAGTTTCCATTGGATTTCCCACCGTTCAGCCAAGGCGGATTCTCGCTCATCGTCACTCTTGGATGCTATTAGTTCTACAACTTCCGTCTTCTTTTTTTATCACGATTCTCTGCTTCTCGCTTTGACTGTTGGATTTCCTCAATACTCTGTCTCCTCCGGAATCATTCCCTTTCTCGAAAAAGGAAAAAAACGAAGATCTAGTTGTGTTAACGAGATGAGGATCTCTAGTGGACGGACATGATTAATCTATTTAGGGTATTGAAAGAGTGAACGATTGAGATTAGGTAAGGGTAGTTCTCCAAAACTGCAATGTCATCGATCCTAGTGATCATTTCTAATTGGTTCTCATCTTCTCAAATGTATTTCTCATGTACTTTATGCATTTTAATAAATATTTTTTAAAATTTTATAATGGATAATATTATATATATGAAC